ATAAAAGGGGGTGCTTTGGGAGTGAGACACATGGAGGGACTGGGGGAATGAGACACATGGGGGGAGGGGCCGGGGGAGAATGATACACATGGAGTTCTAGGGGAATGATACACACAGGGTGCTGGGGGAATGACAGACATGGGAGGCTGGGGGAATGAAACATGTAGGGGGGCTGGGGAGGAATAAGACACATGGGGGGTTGGGGGATGAGACACATTGAGGGGGCTTGGAAAATGAGACACATAGGGGAGTGAGGGGGAATAAGACATATGGGGGGCTGGAGAAATGAGACACATGAAGGGCTGGGGGAATGAGACATATGGGGGGGCTAACGGAATGAAACACATGGAGACTGGGGGAATGAGACACATAGGGCGAGGGGATTAAACACATGAATGGAGAGGCTGGGGGAGAATGAGACACATGGGGGGGCTGGGGTAATGAATTTGGTCCTGTAATATACTCCAATAAATGTAATTACTGCTCTTGAATATTTCAAAAATTAACCTTGAGGCTCTTACAGACATGAAGATTGGCCATCCCCAATATATGCCATGCTGGTACATAATACTCAGTGAAAAGCCAGATCCCACATGTTCAGCAGTGGGTGCTCCAATTGATCTGAATAGGATAGAAGCATTTGGAGCTGTATTGGGCATGTACCAGTGAGTCCCATTAAATAGAAGCTGCTGCTTTTTGTAGGTCTCCATGGTGGGAGATCGGCCGCCTCTCCCGACCACACGCAGACATATCTGAGAAAATGGGTTTTGATTATTTCAATGTACAAGATATTGTCATTTTTAAAAAATAATGTATTTATTTAATTTACTAATAACGCAAACTGCTGTGTGTATTTCTCAAAAAGCATTTATTTTTAAAGAAAGAAAAAAAATATATCTCCCCACTGGCTCTGTTATCCGTTGTGTTTTCCATCTGAAAACTTGTCATTCATGGACTGCGACACTCAAAAGTCACAGCCGGCCAGAGTCCTTGGGAAGCACAGAGGCTGCTTATCTCTGCGAGAGGAGAGAACGTTTCCCTTTAAACTCTGTACCTCCAGCAGCGAAACATGACACTTCTAGAACCAATCCATTCATTTTCCATTAGGAACGTTAAATAAAAATATTTTCCATGTAGCCTTGTCCTGTGCTGTTTGTTCTGTGTTTTGTTAATCGTTGGAGGAATTGTTTAGATTTGTATTTTTTCTCTTCTCAGCATCTGAAATCTATAACAAAAGATGCAAGTCATATTTAGCTGCAGATTGTGTAAACCCCCATACAAAGTGATTAACCCGTTTCTCGACGCGCCCCGACTTATTTGGCCAAAACTGATTAAGCTAGCAGAATAGTTTTTTAGCCTTTTATTATAGCATTTGTTGCCAAAATGGCATTACTGGTACATGTGGTCATTGCAAATTTTTTTTCACATATTAACCCTTTCAGAACTGTTATGTAGCAAGTGAAAGATTTTGGTTGTAATGTAAGGCAATACTACTTTATAAAACTGTGTGATACCGTGTTTCCCCAAAAATAAGACATCACCCAAAAATAAGCCCCAGATTTGCAGTATTCTATTAGCGAGTAAGCGAATCTATGTTCGGGAATGTTTCAATGCCCTAGTGAACTGGTCTATGTTTGGGGGAATTCCCGCGAACGTAGACTTGCTTTCTAGCACATGTTTTCCCCTGCAATAAGACTGTAACGGATCACCTGGCACCCCGACTGGGTACCTCCATTGATAGATGCTCCTAGCGCTTCTTGAGGATTCCAAGCACTCTAGCCAATACCACAACCACCGCAGGCCGAACCTTTCTTCCTTCAGAGCGAAGCAGGAACAAGCTCTTACAAGAGTTTAGGAGTGATTATAGCAAGGGAATATGCAGAGCATAGCAAACCCTTGTAGCAGATTCCCCCATTAAGAGACAGCACTCCAAATTGAGGGTGAAGTAGAACTGTCTAAAACTTTATTTTACTTGGGACTAGCCCATATGGTCATTACATTAACATTGCTGTGAAAACTCAATAAAATTACAAACAGTCAAATTATAGCAGGCAACATACAGTGACTTATTATAAATGGGTGGGGAAGACAAATTACGAATATGCAAATTACCAGTCTTGCTATGAAAGGACCACTATAGTGCCAGGAAAACATACTCGTTTTCCTGGCACTATAGTGCCCTGAGGGTGCCCCCACCCTCAGGAACCCTTTCCCGCCCGGCTCTGGGGAGAGGAAAGGGGTTAAAACTTACCTTTCTCCAGCGCTGGGCGGGGAGCTCTTCTCCTCCGATCCTCCTCCTCTCCTCCCATTCGGCTGAATGTGCACGCGCGGAAAGAGCTGCGCGCGCATTCAGCCGGTCTCATAGGAAAGCATTTACAATGCTTTCCTATGGACGCTTGCGTGGTCTCATAGTGCTTTTCACAGTGAGAATCACACAAGCGCCTCTAGCGGCTGTCAATGAGACAGCCACTAGAGGATTTGAGGGCTGGATTAACCCATTTATAAACATAGCAGTTTCTCTGAAACTGCTATGTTTATAAAAAAAAATGGGTTAACCCTAGCTGGACCTGGCACCCAGACCACTTCATTAAGCTGAAGTGGTCTGGGTGCCTAGAGTGGTCCTTTAAGGTAGTGCATATTACTGTTGCTACCAACAGAGGGCACTACACAAGCTCCATAGCCAAATCCACCTAGTTGGTAGCAATCCTCAGCAGTACAGGAGAGCAGGCAATACATCCCAGGGGCCATAGTCACATGGCAGGAGGCTGGCAATCAGTCTTCTCCAATACCCAGTGGCGAGGCTGGTTCCGCCACAAAGACATCCCTCGAAAATAAGCCCTCGGGATGTGTAAATGGCTAACGCAGTAAAAGAATTAAAGAATGCTTGGGAAGTGTATAATGCTAACACATTAAAGTAATTGAAGAATGTTCAGGATGTGTATAAGGCTAACAAAGTAAAGGAATTGAAGAATGCTCAGGATGTGTATAAGGATAACACAGTAAAGGAATTGAAGAATGCTTGGGATGTGTATAAGGCTAACGCAGTAAAGGAATTGAAGAATGCATGGGATGTGTATAAGGCTAACGCAGTATAGGAATTGAAGAATGCTCAGGATGTGTATAAGGCTAACGCAGTAAAGGAATTGAAGAATGCTCAGGATGTGTATAAGGCTAACACAGTAAAGGAACTGAAGAATGCTTGGGATGTGTATAAGGCTAACACAGTAAAGGAATTGAAGAATGTTCAGGATGTGTATAAGGCTAACGCAGTAAAGGAATTGAAGAATGCTTGGGATGTGTATAAGGCTAACACAGTAAAGGAATTGAAGAATGCTCATGATGTGTATAAAGCTAACAGAGTAAAGGAAATTAAGAATGCTCAGGATGTGTATAAGACTAATGCAGTAAAGGAATTGAAGAATGCTCGGGATGTGTATAAGGTTAAACAGTAAAGGAATTGAAGAATGCTCAGGATGTGTATAAGACTAACAAAGTAAAGGAATTGAAGAATGCTCAGTATGTGTAAGGCTAACAGAGTAAATGAAATGAAGAATGCTCAGGATGTGTATAAGGCTAACGCAGTAAAGGAATTGAAGAATGCATGGGATGTGTATAAGGCTAACACAGTAAAGGAATTGAAGAATGCTCAGGATGTGTATAAGGCTAACGCAGTAAAGGAATTAAAGAATGCTTGGGATGTGTATAAGGCTAACACAGTATAGGAATTGAAGAATGCTCAGGATGTGTATAAGGCTAACGCAGTAAAGGAATTGAAGAATGCTCAGGATGTGTATAAGGCTAACACAGTAAAGGAACTGAAGAATGCTTGGGATGTGTATAAGGCTAACACAGTAAAGGAATTGAAGAATGTTCAGGATGTGTATAAGGCTAACGCAGTAAAGGAATTGAAGAATGCTTGGGATGTGTATAAGGCTAACACAGTAAAGGAATTAAAGAATGCTCATGATGTGTATAAGGCTAACAGAGTAAAGGAAATGAAGAATGCTCAGGATGTGTATAAGACTAATGCAGTAAAGGAATTGAAGAATGCTCGGGATGTGTATAAGGTTAAACAGTAAAGGAATTGAAGAATGCTCAGGATGTGTATAAGACTAACAGAGTAAAGGAATTGAAGAATGCTCAGGAAGTGTATAAGGTTAACACAGTAAAGGAATTGAAGAATGCTCAGGATGTGTATAAGGCTAACACAGTAAAGGAATTGAATAATGCTCGGGATGTGTATAAGGCTAACACAGTAAAGGAATTGAAGAATGCTCAGGATGTGTATAAGGCTAACACAGTAAAGGAATTGAAGAATGCTGGGGATGTGTATAAGGCTAACACAGTAAAGGAATTGAAGAATGCTCAGGATGTGTATAAGGCTAACACAGTAAAGGAATTGAAGAATGCTCAGGATGTGTATAAGGCTACGCAGTAAAGGAATTGAAGAATGCTCAGGATGTGTATAAAGCTAACACAGTAAAGGAATTGAAGAATGCTCAGGATGTGTATAAGGCTAACAGTAAAGGAATTGAAGAATGTTCAGGATGTGTATAAGGCTAACGCAGTAAAGGAATTGAAGAATGCTCAGGATGTGTATAAGGCTAACACAGTAAAGGAATTGAATAATGCTCGGGATGTGTATAAGGCTAACACAGTAAAGGAATTGAAGAATGCTCAGGATGTGTATAAGGCTAACACAGTAAAGGAATTAAAGAATGCTCTGGATGTGTATAAGGCTAACACAGTATAGGAATTGAAGAATGCTCAGGATGTGTATAAGGCTAACACAGTAAAGGAATTGAAGAATGCTCAGGATGTGTATAAGGCTAACAGTAAAGGAACTGAAGAATGTTCAGGATGTGTATAAAGCTAACACAGTAAAGGAATTAAAGAATGCTCTGGATGTGTATAAGGCTAACACAGTATAGGAATTGAAGAATGCTCAGGATGTGTATAAGGCTAACACAGTAAAGGAATTGAAGAATGTGTTTGTATGTGTATCTGTCTGTGACTTTTTGTGTGTATCTGTGTGCCTATATGTGTATCTGTTTGTGTCAGATACACATACAGACACACAGATACACACAAACAGACACATTCACACATACAGACAAACAGATAAATACACAGCAACACTGTATTTATCTGCGTGTCTATGTGTATCTCTGTGTCTGTATGTGTATCTGTGTGTTTGTATGTGTATCTATGTATATATCTGTTTGTCTGTATGTGTGTATATGTGTGTCTGTATGTGTATCTGTGTATTTATCAGTTTGTTTGTATGTATGTGTATATGTGTGTCTGAATGTGTATCTGTGTGTCTGTGTATTTATCTGTTTGTCTGTATGTGTATATGTGTGTCTGTTTGTACCTGTGTGTCTGTATGTGTATCTGTGTATTTATCTATTTGTAACTGTGTGTATCTGTTTGTCTGTATGTGTATCTGTTTGTATGTGTATCTGTGTGTTTGTATGTGTGTCTATACATGTATGTATAACTGCATGTGTATCCTTTTATCTGTATGTGTGTCTGTATGTGTATCTGTTTATATGCATGTGTGTTAGTGTGTGCCCGTGTGTATGTGTGTGTGTCAGTGTTTGTATCTGCATCAGTGTCATTCTGTGTATCTGAATGTGTGTCAATGTGTGTCTGTATATCTATATGTGTGTTAGTGTGTCTGTATATCTATATGTGTGTTAGTGTGTCTGTGTATCTGCATGTCTGTCCCTATATATGTGTTATTGTGTATATCTGCATTTATGTCAGTGTGTATTTGTCTGTTTATCTGTATGCAAGTTAATATGTGTCTGTGTATCTGCATGTTTGTGAGTGAGTGAGTGTATCTGTATGTGTGTCACTCCCTCTTCCAAACATTCCACATTCACCCCAACCATGCCACACAACGTTGTCACATTAACCCCCATAGTCCTTTCCCCTCGCATTGTAACAATCATCCCCCAACCCTGTCTCAATCACCCCTCTGGCCCTGTTGCAAACACCTTGACACAGTTACCCCTTTACCCATCCTGTCACAGTCACCCACTAAAGACAGTCATCATACACACACAGACATGAAACATAGTGGGAAGGCGAGCTCCAGGGGGCCTAAGCAAATGCTTGACCAGGGTCCAATCAATATTAAAGACAGCCCTGATTACTATGTTAATCATTATCAAGTGATAGGTTGTGATCAAGACCATACTTAGGTTGAATAAAACATAATAATGCTAATCTATAACTATATAAATGGTGGAGTAACCTTAGGTCCTGTTTAAAGGATCACTATAGTGTCAGGAAAACAAAGCGGTTTTCCTGACACTATAGTGCCCTGACGGTGTCCCCACCCTCAGGGTCTCCCTTCCGTGGCGCTGAAGGGGTAAAACCCCTTCAGCAGCTTACCTTATTCCAGCACCGGGCTCCCTTGGCGCTGGTGACCTTTCATCCCCTGCCGACGTCAGCCGAGCCTAATGCGCGTGCGTGAATTCAAGCTGTCAATGGGAAAGCATTTTTTAATGGTTTCCTATAGACACTCTGCACGATAGAGGCATAATATGCCTCCAGCGTCGCAGATGCGCCTCTAGTGGCTGTCTGGAAGACAGCCACTAGAGGCTGACTTAACCCCAAATGTAAACATAGCAGTTTCTGTGAGCTGGGCGACTATAGTGTCCCTTTAATATTGCATGGATGCACCAAATGTTGGACATTTCTTGAACCAAGTTCTTCTAATGGATGCAGATTGGAGCTTGTGTTGTCAGTAAGCAACGGGCAGCATTAATATTCCTAGAATCCTAACTGTTTTCACAGAATGAAAATAAAATGAATTTTAGCCTGTTTTACAGACTCCTTTCTTTCTTATTGCTAAGACCTGGGAACTTCTCATAGTATGTCACTGCCGTCCCTGAATTTCTCCTTATTTACTCAGCTGCTTTTGATTCAACTGAAGAGCTAAGGTACAAAAAATGCAGAATCCATCCAGACTGTGCCCAGGTCAGATACATGGAGACAAAAATTATTTACGGAGCTCAAAGTCAATACGGTATAGTATCTCAATTTTGGGACCTGCTTTGATGTGGTGGTCAAACCATACAAGACCCAGGTTTCTAGTTCTGAACCATTTCACGAAGAGGTCATGAAAAAATAATATTGTACTCACCTCAAAAACATGCTATTTAGTATAGTGAATACATGAACTTTATCCCGAAAGTGATACACTCACTCAATTTCAACCCAATCTTAGTTGGTCATTGTAGTAGCAAGTCACTCATCCGAGTTTGCAACCAAATGAAACAGAGCTTGTTTAACTGACCTGTGGAGTCACCAAGGAAGAGTCCATTGTAGTCCATGTGCTCACACCTCGTGGATTGCCTAGTCCTGCTACTCGAGCTTCAGAACATCAGTGACCGCAGAATTTCACCATACTGCATGACACCTACAGCAATAGGACTGATCCCACCCATTATCTCATCATGGAGATATTAGTGGCTTTAATAATGATTGGCCAGCATACCATCCCAGTGGACAATCCTCTTCCAAATCCCCTTTACCTCGTAAATGCAAACAACAGGAGCTTAGAGGGATTCAAAATGGTGTATCGTCAATGTCTTTTGTGCACCACTTTACCTGTGTTCTACTGACCAGGGGAATCTTTCATATAAACGACAGATTCTCCAGCACAACAGTGAATATGTTAATAGCACCTTTTTATTGGATTATTTGAGATTTAATTATTTGTGTAATATCTATTTGCACCCCCAAAAACCTTGGTGTAAAGAACTACTTGGCTTTTGCTAGATTAGATATGTAGGTCTGAAAATATCTTTTAAAGAATCTCTATAGGCACCCAGACCACTTAATCTCAATGAAGTGGTCTGGGTGCAGTGGCCGTGACGTTTTCTTCTTGCAATATAAAACACTGCCGTTATGGAGGTATAGTAGTTTACATTACGTTGCTAAACACATCTTTAGTGGCTGTCATACATTTAATTGGAGGTGGGCAGCGCTTGCCACGTGTGTGCTTGTTGTCCACAATGCTTCTCTATGAGAAGCATTGGATGGGACAAAAAAGAAAAACCATCAACATGCTTAATGATGAAAAAGGAGGTGGATCGGCAGCTGCAACAATGGTGTCTCGACACTGGAACGAGGCAAGTAAAATATTCTAATGTTTCATTTTATTTTATTTTTAAATAGGTGGACAGGAAATCAATATAATCTCATGGAATTTATAGTCCGAAAGAAAAGAGAATATATTGAGGGCTCCCTTTAACTTGTCATGTCCTGGAATTCCTACTCTACAGGAACAATTGACCTGTCACTGGTTTTGAAACATGTCTTCACTTGATCCTAAATTACAAATTAGGTACTCAACTTGTGAGTGGCTAAAAGTTTGAGGTTTAGCTGAGCTCAGTCAGTCACCGATCAATCACACATCTTCTTGGACTGATCTTTAAAGAGTTTATGTGGGAAGAATGCGACAGAATTGTTAAAGAGGGGGAAAAAAAGCACTCAAAATAAAAAAGCTCGACAAATCAATGTTCGCCTTTCACAGCTATCTTAGACCTTCCTGAGGTCAGCAGACATGCTCGCAAGAAAATTAGATTGGAAGATTGCACTGACAGTGAGTGAGACGCCACTTAAATGTACGCACCGAGTGTCGGCTGGAAGGAAATGGTGCGTGTGAATCTGACAGCCTCACATCGTTCATTTCCAAAAAGAATTACCTGTAATAACAGTTCCATGCATCTTAGAAGTCTCTGAGTTTGATTCACCTCTCTACCTGCTGGACTTCTAAAGGGCAGGCTGATGTATGGGAACGCATCCCTTTAAAACACCGCCAACCTCTATTAACTGTAGCCTGGAGGAACCTAGCAAGGATTTTCAAACATTCCATAAATAAATAAATAAAAATAATAATAAAAAAGAAATAAGAGATTAAAACCCATCCTCGCTATTTTACCGAGGATATGACATTTTGAAGAGAGTACAAATATATTTCTAACCGTGTAAAGTTTACGTAGAGGTCACTAATGGATAAATAACACAAAAGATTCGCAGTCAGTATGTAGATTCTATGAATAATGCACAAGGTTGTGTCTGAATCTCCAGTACTCAAAATAATTGGTGTATCAGTCTGTCTGTCTATCTATCTATCTATCTATCTATGTCTGTCTATATATCTGTATATCTATCTATCTATCTGCATGTCTATCTATCTATCTGTATATTTATCGATCTATCTATCTATGTCTGTCTATCTATCTGTATATCTATCTATCTCTATCTGTCTGTCTATCTAGTTATCTATTTATGTCTGTCTGTCTGTCTATCTGTATATCTGTCTGTCTATCTATCTATCGATCTCTCCCAAGACCTATAACACAGTTGGTTTGAGCGTGATACATAGTCAGAGACAATCAGTTACATGAGTTGATGGACAGGTGCCTGTCTGTATGTCTGTCTGTTTGTCAATATGTCTGTCTGTCTATCTATCTGTCTGTCTGTCTGTCTAGTATTTTTGTCTGTCCATCCTCCTGTCTGTATGGATCTCTCCCAAGACCTATAACGCAGTTGGTTTGAGCGTGATACATAGTCAGAGACAATCAGTTACATAAGTTGATGGACGGACGCCGGGGGAGCAGTGGAGAGAGTTGCACAGGGATTCGTATTATCCTCTCAGCAGGGAGAGACTAGAATGTTACGGAAATGAAAACATTCTTGAGATAGATAGAGGATATCCTGAATGTGAAAGAAGGCTCTGAAGTTGTAAAATAGGGGGGATGGGGGGAGAGGGGGGGATCTAATGTACAGAATGGAATCCAGTTTTAGCAATCAGAGAAATATATTTTTCTTTAAATGCACATCTCAATGAAAATCTCTCTGTTTGTATCAGCAACACACCGACTACTCTGACTGCTTGGTAGAGTGTTTTTAATTTAAGACAGGTATGTAAACATTTACATTGTACCCATTTGCAGAGTTTTGGTCTCTGTAGTTGATTCCTATACGTCTTCATTGGATAATTTACAGGGTGTGATGGAAGAGGGGTCTATGCTCGTTAATCTTTGCCCAGTGATGGGCTTTAATTCAGCAGGTCACA